ATAAAGTAAATAAGTGGAATAAACAAATGAGACGCTGCGAGTGTCGTGCTTGAAATATCAAACTCATGAAACGGTTTTTCACAGAAAACCGGAAAGGAAAACACAAAGCACGCTGCTAACTTGGCAGGCACACAGCAAAAATATTTATGCTTAATTTGGTCATTGTTTTTTGTCGAGTGGGATACTGAAGCCAAAATCAAAAACCCAGAACGAAAATACACAGAGAAAACATAGCAAAACACGTTTTCTGCAAACTCGGGTTGTGCCAGGAGACAGTATAAGGCGGGGAGGGGGTTCAATCCCCACCCACTTTTTAGGCCCCCAAAGCGAATGATTCATTGGAGAATGCCGCTAACGATAAATCGTATTCGGCTGATGAATTTAAATTGTTCTCAACCGAATGTGTACACTAAAACTTAAAATGAGGGATGGGAATCGCATTCAAAACAATAAATAAATACATTTTAGTACCTAAATAAAAGATTTTTTTCTTTTGCATAGTAATATGTAACTTGTTCTTGTAATATTAATATAAAAAACGGTTTTCTTAAAAAAATATATATATTATTGTAATTTTAAAGCTCACTCTTTACTTTAAAACTATCCATTTTATTATTTTAAATTCGAAGGCCTATAGTCTTCTAAGCATTTTAGAGAAAAATAAAAATATTACGAGGTATATATTTTTTTAAGTTCCTTAGCTAAAATATCTTTTATAAGTTTTAAATATGTTACTGTGTAAATTCGATGACAAAATATTAATACTCGAAGCACCTTAGTCATTAAAATCTCATTAAGCGACTTCTTTATTCGCAAAACCCCTGGCATTCCCATCCATTGTTTGGTTGTGTTGCTGTCTTCCTGTTGTTTTTTTGCTAGTTTTAAAGACAATTATTAAATTATTGATTGACAAGTCCTCATCCCTTTCCATTTTCCATGTAGTCCCCCTCTTTGCAACGCAAACCGGGCCAAACTCAAAAGGTGAAAGTGAAAACTGTCGTTTCCATTGTTGTTTGTCTCTTTTTGTTTGTGCAAAACAATTTAACAATTTATGTGTAAATTTTCACAACGGAAGTTGTTGAAACTTATGTGTGGGGCCATCAGAGCGGCAACAGCAAAAATAGCAAGCTAAAAAGCTGTAGTTTAGTTTAACTTATAAGGTCATTGTCATATTTGGTCATCTGCTGGAGCATATTTCTAGCTAGCGGATGAGTCACTAGATCCGAGAAACAGATACTTTCATTCATAAAAAACCAAATTGCGAACACTTTCCCCAGAATTTCAGAGAACAAAGAAAGCACTAAATGTTATTGTTTATAAAAAATCCTCTTAAAGGGGATGACTAGCCCCCATACTTACGGACCGAGGAGTACGCAAATATTAGGTTTACCAATAGAATCACTAGAAAATATTGAAAACCAAAGCTAACAAGTGAAGTTTCGTCTGGCCAAAGGTGTAGATATAAGTATTTAATCTAAATTAGCATGCCTGACATCATCAGCAAATCGAAAAGAGCCATAATGCTAGCTTTACCTTGGTTACTAAACTTTAATCTACAAAAGAAATTCCATCTTATGACACTCCTCACCCATTTCTTCTTATTTAGCTCGTAATTTCTTTGAAAACTAAGAAATATTGAACAACAAATTGAGCATTTTTTTAGTAGCCAATTATGATTAATGAGTTTAATCTGTGCGACTAAAAGGAGAGTGGGAAAAAATTCGCAGACGAATCTAATCAAGGTTTGATGGCTGAGTAGTATTTGTGTTAGTGTTATTTGTCTTAAGAGGCGGAAATGCGATTGTTTTGGGTTATCTGGGGTGACTTTATAATTACTGACTTGGAGCCAAAGGGCTAACCAGGTAGAAACTGGGTTCGTTATAGTGAAATATTTTGTTGGGTGCGTCGCTTGTTGCCAGGACAAAATCCATTTAAAGAGCCGGTTCGGGTTCGCATATGGTCCTCTCTTTTCGCTTTTCTCTTTTGGGCACACGCCCAAAACAACAGAGAATAAACAGAAAGAAATAACGTGAGGGAAAAGAAAACAAATCGAATCGGTTCGGTTCGCGAGAAGTTCAAGAACAAAATAAAACCCAACGCAATTTTCACTCTGCTTATTTTTGCGCTTGCCTTCGCTCATCAAAGAAACCTAATTAAATATGCAAATAATTTGCGTGCTTTCGTGCTCTTTTTTTATGCTTTGATTATATTGCATAATGCACGATATTCGGAGATTAATGGTATTTGGAAGTCACAAAACGAAACTGGGAATCGGTCGAATCCGAGTCATTTATCGGGAGGTTCGTTTGAAAATTTCAATCAAGGTTGTGAGAACAAAAAAGTGTTCGAAAAAGAGAAAGGTAACTAATGTAGATAAGTATTAATTGAAAGCGAATTGATCAATCATTGTCTGATCGACAGACAACCGGTATCAGCATAAGGAAAAGTGGTGATTTGAAAATGTGAGGATCATGCGGGAAATAACGTATTTTCTCGAGACCAACAACTTTCGTTGAGGGAAATTGATTTCCATTTAAGATACTTAGGGTTTACGGGGTCTTAAAATTAATACCAGTTGAAAAAAACTATATAAAATCTAACAAAATTGCGGAAAATGCGATTTGGAATGCCCATTAACCACCTAATTAATTCAAATTAATGACCGTGACCTGGTCTTTTTCTCGCTGCTAATCGATTATTTTAAAATCTCCCGCCAAGAAATTCCTTTGTCTAGTTTTCAATCTTAATCTCCTCTCTCATAATCCAGCACTTACCCACTCCACCCACCACCCACCTGCTCTTTGACGTCATCACATGCTAATGTCTAGGTCTTCGCACTCTTGTGGGCTTTCAAAATTCCCAATGTATCCAGATTTGTGTGTGTTCAAGTGTTTTTGGCGCCGTTGGCAACAAACTGAAGAGCAAACGCTTTTCCGTGCTCGTGGCCAATTTGAAAATCAAATTAAACAAACACGAAATGAGCGCGCGTTGTTCAAACATTTGCTCCAAAGAATTTTTCAATGAAATATTTAATGTTCAAATGCGAGCGATGTGAGCCCACAGTATCATAAATAAAATCATCAGTTGTCACAGAAAAAAGAGATTAGTCGGTGGATGAGAGAGGAGAAGGTTGATCTGCACACGAAATCAAATAAATAATATAAACACTGCGCCAAAAATAGCTGACAAGCCAACGAGTGCGGGCAGAAAGATACACTGAACGAAAAGGGATGCCCAAAAAAAGTACAATATTTAGCTTTAATTAAATTTGTATGACTAAAGTTGATTAATTCTAATAAAAGATAATTAGGGGCAAACTTTTTTACCCTAAAGATACATATTCTGTCAAAAACAAAGAAGGTTTAGACCACAATTTATTTATATAACCCTATGAAAAAGGTAATCAGCTGATGAAAAAAATCATCCATACACATAATGCCCACTATTTTCGCTCTGTGCAGGATTAGCCTCGCTATAAATGCCGATTCTTTTCGTTTTCAGTGCGCTTTCATTTATCATTCCCGTTGAATTTAATTCAATTGCTGACAAAAACGTGTTGTTGTAGACTCAACCGTGCCTGTCTCCGAACAACAACAAACTGATGATAACAACAAACAGGAAGAAGCTGCTATGAAAGACGAGCTCGCTTAAGACGATCTCGCACAAAATATGCAGCTAAGTGAATTTATCGGAGGAAAGTGTGATTGTTGCCAGGCCACAAAACGCATTCCCTATTATTATGAATTGAATTGAAGTTGTTATTAACGTTAATTGTGTTATGCATATGTCAGGGGGTGGGTGGGGGTAGCTGGTTTAACAAACTGTAATCAAAGTGCAGCGACAGGGAAAGCCAGCTCCCAACAGGAGTGGAGTCAACGGGCGCGGGAGGTTAAAGCCAGTCGTATCTCGATATGATCGCTGACAACTTAATTATAACAACTATGTTGCTCGGGATAAGTCGATTCGATTTAATAGTCCCAGATATAAATGTCTTTGTTGAACTTTTTGCAGCGAATATCAGTAGTTTATATGATTTTAAGCGTGGCATTATCTACAGGAAACTAAGAAATGCATATTTCCAGAGAGTTTTTAAAGAAAACTCATTTTGATATGCTATTTAGTCAAATAATACCACATTTTTAAACGAATATTTTAAGGAATTAAAACATTAACATCACAAAATGGTTTTTTTCTTTTTTCTTATTTTAAAACCTATTTATAATCACTGTTCCATATTTTATCAATTGAACAGTTTAATATGTTCATAATTCAGAATATTAGTCTACATGCCAAAAAACAATACAGTCGGAGAAATTTTTAACAAGTACTTTGGAAACTCACTTAGTATGTTTCCTTATTAGTAATTCTATAAACCTAAAATTTGTTTAAGTTCATTTCAGATATTTTACGTCCTTTTTTTTTAAGTTGCACAAAACATTTTCGATCAGTTTATTAAAGGAAACCAAAGGAGATCACTCAGGACCAAAAACTTTGGAACAGTATGTTTCTTCAATAGTTATTGATTAAACCGAAACATTTTTAAAGTGCATTAAGAAATTTTACTTCTATCCGTTTTTTAGTTGAATAAAACAGTTTCGGTCATAGCAAAGATGTTTTTTTCAAAGAGAACCAAAAGAGATCAACTAGGCCCAAAAACATTGGAACATAGTATGTTTTTTTATAAGTAATTTTATAAGCCTAAACATTTTTGAAGTACACTAAGACATTTTAGGTCTATTCGTTTTTTAGTTCAGTAGGCTAGTTTCGGTTACCGCAAACATGTTATTATTTAAAAAAAACCAAAAGAGAACCCTCTCTGGCCCAAAACTTCGGATCAATCCGTCAGCTTTTTTGGCTTAAAAAACAACCAAGCCATCACACACACACACGTTCGTGGGCCGCAGGTACGTGCTTGCGTGTGGTTGTTTGCCTGTGTGCTGGCTATGAGTACACTTAAATAAACAACTTTGAACTATAAACAATATTCGGCACGCACTCACCTTTGCAACAACAGTTATTTAGGTGCAGCCACCCGCTCTCTTCCTCTCTCTCTATCCGCTTTTCACGCTCTCTGCCTCTCTCTTCTCCCTTTTTTTGGCTGCTGCAGCTTGATTTTTATGCACACATCAATTTTCAAACTGCGACGCCCTTTTTCCGATTTTCTCTCTCACCAACAAAACAACAACTATTGCACACAACACGCACACACTCTGTTAACAACAATTTGGCTCTTCACTTTTTGTGTATTAGATTTTCCTCTTTGCTTTTCCTTTCGCTCTGCGCACCTCGCGAAAAATATTGTTGGTCGGCTGGTCAATCAGCGATGTTTGATTTTAACCATTGGTCGCTTCTTACATTTAAATGAGTGCCCTTTCAACTTGTCTGCCAGTTGCTGCACTTTACTTTTTGTTTGACGCCTCTTCTGTTTCAACCGACACACAACCAACCGCTAGTAGGTGGAGAAAACATCGAAACGTACCGTACAGCGAAAATCCCAAGAAACCGTTTTTCAGTATTTTTATGATTGAACGTAAGCAAACGTAAGCAACCGTAAGTGTCAGTAAAATGCGAGATAAAATATTTCTGCAACTGGTCACACTACAAAATGGTCTCACTAGCCTTCTGCCAAACCGAGTATTTTCTCCGTTTATCATTATTTTTTTTTGTCAAGAAAATTGACGCAGTTTGCTGATAACTTTTTATAAATTTCCAAGAAAGGGCCTCGAAAGGTCCAACACCCAACCAATGATTTTTTCTTTGCGCGGGCTAGTTTAAAACGGTGCAACCAGACCGTCAAACCAGAACGGACCTATCGATAGTAATGTTTTTTTACTTCATCGACATATCGCATAATAAGATTTAACATTTCTACTTCAACAAAAAATTTAAATTTAAATACAAAAGGAAGAAAGTAAGGTAAATTTGTTTTATTTGAATTTTCATGGTGTGGGCCTCTATGAATTCCCATCACCGGCCAAATTGTTAATAAGGTATATTATTTGAGCTTTATGGGTCCTTTGCTTGAAGCCATTCTTCTAAAAAGATCAGAATTGAGGGCAACAACAACTCTTGGTTTTTGCATCACGACAATACACCGGCTCGCATTTCACTAGTTCTTCGTGACCATTTTGCAAAAATTCGCATCCCATCGTATTCCCCTGATTTGGCTCCGCATGACTTCTGGTTATTCCCAAAACTCAAGAGATCACTCCGGGAAACGAGTTTCGTGTCGATTGAGGAGATAAAAGCTGAATCTTGGCATGTTTCGAGCATTGGAAAAAACGTTGGCATAAGTGTATTTTATCGCAAGATGAAAATGATTTAGAAGAATAAACAAAGATTTTTAATTTTACACACAAATGTACCTTATTTTTGGTCCACAGTAGTATGTACTTCTCGCAAATGCGCTGTTTAATTTTTAATCATTACTTGAGTACACAGAGAAAATTCTGACGTTCTAATCTGAGTTGAAAATGTTCTTAAAAAAAGAACGACATTTTTAAGTTGAAAATGTTTTTATTTTGCTCCAATCAAGTTGAATTGGCGGTATTTAAGTAAATTGTATGTACAAATAAACTAATAGTTTAGTCCTTAGTGTATACTTATCAAAAAGTTGTTAAATAAACTCAATTTAACTTTTCTCTTCTCACCATTTCGTTCTTATATTGATACCAAAATGTACTTACACGGTTTTTAAGAACGAATGTTCTCGATTCAAGAACAATGTTCTCAATTCAAGAACAAGAACAATGTTCTCAATTCAAGAACAATGTGCTCAATTCAAGAACAATGTTCTTAGATAGTTTTCTCTGTGTAGTTAAAACTAAGTTTTGTGCTTTTACCCCTTACTCTTAAAGTAAAATGGTACATTGAACTCGGGGAAATGTTCTTCGCCAGTTCCACTTTAGAAGTGAATCTTAAAGATCGCAGCAGGATGCCTTTGATATACATAAATAAGATTTTTCTGACATTAGATGGCCGATGGAAAGTCCGTTGGTTGCTGGCCAGGTCCTTGTTCACCCCTATACCAAAAACGGGCGTTATTCTGTAGCGGTAGGCCATGCGAGCGGTAGTTCCAAGCCAATCGAAGTCGGCCTCCTGTCAGGAGGATCCCTCGAGCACATGCATTGTTCCACATTCGTCTACCAGTTGCTTCAACTTTTAGCTGTATGTGGAGTTGAGCTCCTTGACTCGTAGAAGTGCTCCACCTGAACATCCTCCGGAGGGTCGCGTCTATCATGACCCGTGTTGAGCATCTACAGGATATTTCGGTTGACGCCGTTGGTCAGAGTCTCGAGAACTCCCGTTCTGGACACCTGCATGCTAAAAGCCGAGTTGATGCGATCATAGTTGCCACAGAAGAAGGGGTAGAAGTCGTTGCATGGATCAACCTTTTGGTCCATGAACTTCTCAAGCTCCGCAGACTTCGCTTCTTGCAGCAGCTCCCTGACGTACTGTTGTATGTGGAGTAGGTATTATAAGCGGACAGGACAGTTTTAAGGCGGTATACTATTTACGGTATCGCGGATATCGTTATTTTTTCTCTTTTTTAACCTAACGTAAATCATCCACACAAAAGTATGCAACAATAACTTATCAAATTTTTCTCAGTGTTTTGCCTAGACACGGGACACGAGTTACCAGTTACCAGCAAAGCGAACAACACCACCATCACTACAGGAAACCCAAGGCCCTCGGCGCTTCCCAATAGAAAGGAACCAAAATAATTGTTAAAAAGATTTCATTTTCACATATATTACTTAAAAAAATGGAACTTGTTTGAACCGAACAAAGTTCTGCAAAGTTTCTTGGATTACTAACAAGATCTACAACTGCTTCGAGCTTCAATTTAGCACATTTAAAAAATGCCGCTAACGCTATTATGGGAAAAGTCTTAGCGCCAAGCAAATCCCAACTTATCAGGGCTGCTTAAATTTTACGCCTACAAAAGCTGAATGCTGCGAAATCGCATTCACTTTGAAGTTGTCTTTATATTTATTATCGCTCAGATTTCTAGATAGATTTTTATATCGTTGTACTTCATTTTATATTTATATACAAAATATCTAATCGCTCTAGAAAATATGATTAGTTCTTTATTGCATATTAAAATCGGATTCAATGGTAGTTCTAACAATTTTAATTCGCCCGACAGTTCTGTAAATTATTTTGTCACACAATTCATTTTAATTTAATTTTTCTCCTAAAGCCTAGTACTCAGATCGTCTAAGAGTTTCACTAGTCGAAAAATCTTATTCTTTGTAGTGTGACCGAAGTTTTCAAAGTTCACCCGCAATGCATGTAGCATGGTCTTACTGTCAAGCAGCTGGGTTTGAAATTGAAATTTAAAAAGGTGGAGTCTGCTGGTACACAAAGAAATTAAATAAAAATAAATGCAATGTTCAACGACGGTTTTTATTTATGTAAATTAGTAGTTTAAAGCTTCCTTCTCGACCCACGGATGCTTCGCCATCTTTCCCGCCCCACCGCAGTCCAGCTCCGAGTCTCAATAGGCATATTGGACCTTGAGGAAGTGAGAGCCGGATTGGGAACGGGGTTGATCCGCTGATGCTGCAGGAAGTCGCCCAGCGTCCTGGCAGTGGCTGGCTATGGCTTCTCCAACTGTTCCTTAGCGGGTGCACTATTTTCCTCCTCCCTATAGAAGCCAGCGGGTCCTCCAGCTCCGCTTAAGCTGCCAAGTAGCTGGTGGTGGTGGTGTACGGAGTACTAATGTAGAGGTCGTCGGAAATCACTTTCTTTGTGAGGAGACGCCCGGCAGGATGTCCATGTAGAGAGCCAAGTCCCACTCGGCATATTCCTTCCCACTGGGATTCTCTAGTGGATCTCCTCCAGCACTTCAACTATTCTGCGGATTAGCCACTGTTGTTTTGCTTCCTGTCTGTGAAATCACGCAATAAAGGGCAACAGCTTGGATTAGGCGTTCTATTTCATCTGCACTGACCTCCTGCATCATATTTTGGGAGTTTCCTTTCATTATACCCGTTACTCGTAGAGTAAAAGGGTATACTAGATTCGTCGGAAAGTATGTAACAGGCAGAAGGAAGCGTTTCCGACCCCACAAAGTATATATATTCTTGATCAGGATCACTAGCCGAGTCGATCTAGCCATGTCCGTCTGTCCGTCTGTCCGTCTGTCCGTCTGTCCGTCTGTCTGTCCGTCCGGATGAACGCTGAGATCTCGGAAACTATGGGAGCTAGGCTATTGAGATTTGGCGTAAAGATTCCTGAGCTTCTTACGCAGCGCAAGTTTGTTTCGGCACAGTGCCACGCCCACTCTAACGCCCACAAACCGCCCAAAACTGTGGCTCCTACAGTTTTGATGCTAGAATAAAAATTTTAACTGAAGTGTATTGTTCTCATCAATACCTATCGATTGACCCAAAAAAAAGTTTGCCACGCCCACTTTAACGCCCACAAACCGCGAAAACCTGTGACGCCCACAATTTTCATGCTAGATAAAAAATTTTAACTGAAATGTATTGGTCTCGTCGATACCTATCGATTGATCCAAAAAAAAATTTGCCACGCCCACTCTAACGCCCATAACGCTTAAATCTGTATACCGCCGGTAGGTGGCGCATTTTAATCTCGCTTTGCTGCTTGCATATCTCCATATAGCTGAGTAACGGGTATCTGATAGTCGAGGTACTCGACTATAGCGTTCTTCCTTGTTATACCCGTTACTCGTAGAGTAAAAGGGTATACTAGATTCGTCGGAAAGTATGTAACAGGCAGAAGGAAGCGTTTCCGACCCCACAAAGTGTATATATTCTTGATCAGGATCACTAGCCGAGTCGATCTAGCCATGTCCGTCTGTCCGTCTGTCCGTCTGTCCGTCTGTCCGTCTGTCCGTCTGTCTGTCCGTCCGGATGAACGCTGAGATCTCGGAAACTATGGGAGCTAGGCTATTGAGATTTGGCGTGCAGATTCCTGAGCTTCTTACGCAGCGCAAGTTTGTTTCGGCACAGTGCCACGCCCACTCTAACGCCCACAAACCGCCAAAAACTGTGGCTCCTACAGTTTTGATGCTAGAATAAAAATTTTAACTGAAATGTATTGTTCTCATCAATACCTATCGATTGACCCAAAAAAAAGTTTGCTACGCCCACTTTAACGCCCACAAACCGCGAAAACCTGTGACGCCCACAATTTTCATGCTAGATAAAAAATTTTAACTGAAATGTATTGGTCTCGTCGATACCTATCGATTGATCCAAAAAAAAATTTGCCACGCCCACTCTAACGCCCATAACGCTTAAATCTGTATACCGCCGGTAGGTGGCGCATTTTAATCTCGCTTTGCTGCTTGCATATCTCCATATAGCTGAGTAACGGGTATCTGATAGTCGAGGTACTCGACTATAGCGTTCTTCCTTGTTTTTAATATTTAGTTTACACATCGCCTTTGCACGAACACCGCCAAAGATTAAATTTCTTATTCTTTGGGCCGCGGCTAACGGCGTTCATCGAAAATTCACTCGCGAAATCTTGTATTTTGTCTGGTATTTCCTTAGCTCATCTGAGGACCGCACTGAAAAACAGATCCGACGAAAACCTTTAGCCGCCTGTTTGCCTCTCGCTCACTCCTATGGTTAGCTCGCGGTTTTCGTCGATGTGAGTACTAGGCTTGAATTAAATGTTGACTTTTAACTTTTGTGGACAGCGGAGCTAGTTCCCTCAAAATGAAAAAGTTGGAGCTCCAATTTCGACTTATCGATAGTTAGGTGATAAATTTAGAAATCAACTTTAACAAACAACTAAATTTTATTACTCTATTTTTTGCACATTGTAATTAAATATTAACCAACTCTTTGCATATATTTCGTAGGGAAAAAAATTCACTTTATAAATTTTTATTTTGAAAACGATGGAAATGTTTAAAACATTTTTTGTTACAGACGAAAAATATTTGTTTTTTTTTTTGTCAAACATGCCAAATTTGATTGTTTTTTAATTTGTTTACACTATGAATAACTAAATTTAAATATTAATTTTCTTATCGCCAACAATCAATCGAATATTCGATAGCAGCCAGGCGTTAGGTGATTTCGTGCCACCCGTTAGGGATTTTCCGTTTCCCTTATTGTCATCTTTCTTTTGTGTTTTGTCTCTCTCTTTCGCCCATCTTGCATTACACTTACGCTGAGGCTGTCTCGCTTTTTTACTGACACTTACGTAGTGCTGACACTTACGTTTTGTTGCCGTTTGTTTTCAATCAACATTCGCTGGAAACGGACGTGTCGTTGCGCCGTCCTCTTCGTCGCGCGCGTGTGTGTGTGGTGTCTGTGTGTACTGAAACATTTTGGGGTCGCAGCAAATCGGAGAAAAATTCTTAATTACTTATACAACATAAGTGTTTGTTCTTGCGGCAAAGCGATTGTGGCAATAGTGCGATTTAACCGCAAAGGAGAATACGAAAAGTCTGCTGAATTACGTGAGTAGTTGGTCTGTGTGTGTGTGCCAGAGCGAGGCGGCAAATCAGTGCGGCGTGAAAGGGAAAGAGCAGCAAAATATAATTCGCTGCGAATGCTTCTGTGTTCGTGCCAGTGTTTAGTGTGCATGTGTGCTAAAACAAATGCCTAAATTGCAACAAAGAAAATTGTATGAAATATACGAAGCGAAGAGCAGAGCGAAAGCGACGAAGAAAAAAGAGGCTGCTGCCTAAAGAAGAAGCGGAAGAAGAAGCAGCAGCAGCCGCCGCGAGTTTTTTCGCGCGTGTGTTAGTGTGCATACAAATGTATATGAAAAATAAAGAATAAGAGGAAGCAAAAGCAAATCATCAAAAAGTGTTAAAATTAATCACATGTATTTCCACATTTCTTGCAGCGCTTGACAACGAAAATAATATTTAGTAAATGCAAAGTACGAGAAAGGTTAATTATATTGCTTAATCAGTGAACTGCGGTTTCAAACGTCTTCGTCTTCCCCCTCTGCATTTTCTTAACCGGAATGCCCCCAAACAACCAAAATCCACAGCAACAACATCGAATGGAATAAAATAAAAACCAAGAACTTTGAAGAGAGCGGTGAGAGAGAGAGGCGTCGGCTAACGGCTTATCAATTGAAATTGACAAAGCACGAGGAAAGAGAAGGAGAGAAGAAGAAGCAGAGCGCTGAGTGCGCGAAATGTGAGTAATCTTAAAAACCGAAAAAGAAAAAGAACTAAAGTATTACAACCAGGAAAAGACAGGGCAGAATTCTTTTAGCGATTCTTCGAAAACTGTAGGAAAATAGCAGTCTTAGCTTGCACAAAAGGCAAGAAAGTGTGTTCACTGGTTTATTATTTTATACTCGCTCTCTGATAAGAGCGGAAGTGAAATAACAGACCTTGGGAAAAGCAAACCGTATTTATTTATCGGCTTCCCATGTGCCGGATACTTTGAAATCTGGGGCAGTTAATTATAGTTGTCAGTGGGAAGACAGTGGGCGTTCGCTTTAACAGTGTCATAAGGGTTTCCAATTATATTGAATGTTTCTTGAGGCTGGGTTGATAAGTACAATTGTCATTACTATTATTTTTGGTATAGGAACGTTTTTTGTTGTGAACTGTAAATCAAATTATAATTTCCTTGGTGCTTATAGAGCTGTAAGGTAAAATCTTATAGTTATTATTATTATACAATATAAGTAATATTTAAAACTGTAAGTGGTATTTTGATTAGCGTGCGCAGGCTCGTATATTATATGATTAGAAATCCTTTTGTTTATGACCATTTGAATTTTCACTCGGGACTCCAATAAGATTAGGCCATGTACAGGTGATTTATCTGCTGTTGTTTGATTTCGGCTATTAACAGCTATGCAGTTGACAGTTTCAGTCTATAAAATCCAATTAAAGGAACACAAAATGCCCCTGGTCAAGTTAGAGAGGCTTTTTTCTTGTTGACTGGAGGCAAAAGACCCGAAAACCAAAAACCAATTATGGCCAACTAGTTTGTCTGGCTTAAAGTGATTGAGGGGGTTGCGGGGTCTGGAAATATGCGTGCCATTTGGCCACTGCGTCTTTGGCCATTTAGCCGTTTGTCCTGACCGCAAGTTTTCTGTCAATTAGAAGTTGTTGCAAGAGTTTCGTTTTTCTTTTGTAGTCCTGAATCTTTTTGCATACACTGAAAGTTACCAAAAGGAAAAAAAGATTAATAGAAAAATTTCAAGTAAATCATGGACATCAATTCCATCAATCTAAGAAAATAGCTGGTTATATATGAATTTTATTTTTAATTGATTGATTGACTAGGTAAATAAATAAACTCGAAGTAATCTTTTGGTTCACTCTATCTAACATTTACTGTACTTAGATAGTTTTTGTCGCCGCTGCATTGGATACACACACACAGTCGCAAGTAAAACAGAAACAAATAAAATGAGAAAAACTGACAGTTTTTGCTTCCCACTTTATCTCCTTGAGTTTGCTGTTGCTTTATTTTGTTGTTGCCATTGCACGCTCTTCATTCCGCCTACTGCTGCTTCTTCTTTTTCTTTCTGCTAGCTTTTGATGCCTGCATATGTACATATGTATGTGTTTATGTAAAAAAGAGATACCGTTGTTTGGGTGCTTTTCTTGTCTTCCCGCTCTTCTCTTATCTTCCGCTTCTCTTCCTGGTTGAATCTTCTTCTTTCACAGATTACAACGTTCCTTTTTGGCGCTGTTTTGAAACACACAGAGAGAAAAAGTTAACTTTTTTAGACTCACTTCCAATAACTACAACTATAAAGAATATTTGTGACTTGTGTCTTAAGTTTCCTTTTGCATCCACAATTCTCCCCAAAGGGAATTTAAAACTTACTTTTTACCTTGCTCCATTATAAATATATACTTGAAAATACCCCATGAACAATTCGACTGCCTGTGTCATGGCATCTACTCACACTCGTGCGAATTGGCTGTGTATCTATGTGGGACAGAAATAGTTGCATTTTGGAGGTCTGCACTTTCATGGCGGAAACTCGAAAGCGAAACAATGCCATAAATACAACAAACACACACACACGGCCACTGAAACCAAAATAGATAAATAAATTCGGAAAGAACAAGGAAAAACTTTTACAGAATGCGAGTGCAAAGGGAATTCGTTTATAAAAATGTGGAGATTCGGTGGGAGGGAGTGTGGTAAATGGCCTGCTGTAAAATGTTGTTGACTGTTTAGAATTTAAACTTAAATTTAGAACCAAAAGTTCGAACGCAGCTGCCGGAAAATCGGGAAAGATACTTATATAGAAAATAGGAAATGAAAAATACGTAAATAAAGGAAATCTTTCAGGTAAAAAAAGAAGGCACCAAAGTTTTTTTCACATCGTTTGTATGCACGACGTGAGCTTGAATCTTGAATGTTTATTCCCTTTCTTTTTATTTGTCTATCTTTGGCTCTTTCCACGTGTGTGTATAGTGTTTTTTGACAGTTGAATGAACTCAAGCATTTATTAAAAAAAGAAAGAAGAAAAACAAAAAACTAAATAAAAGCTATCACACACAATAACAAACAGAAAGAGCATGCAAGATAAGCGAAAAGCTACATCTGAGGGCAATATAATAGTATTTAACTACTATTGAAAAAAAAATTACGAAGGTGTTACAAGTATCGCAGATATTCTGCTAATCACATACTACTTTTTTGCTATAAGCAAATCTTCAATTTTCTTGTAGAAGCTAAAACATTTTTCTTAAACCTGTTGAGCAAACATTTTAATGGTTTAATTAAAAAATTATTACAAATTCTTTCATTTTAAGACCTAAGCAATAAAATATGTTCAAGTGTTGACTAGGGATGTCGAAATTATATCAAAATATCCATATATCGATGAAATATTGAATATCAATATTATTTGTAAATGATATTTTGGTCCTTTATAATAGTTTTCGGGTTTTTCGAACCCCTATTCATACCCGAACCCTCAATATTTTTATTCTCAAATGGAAATTTATATCGATATATTTATATTTTAAATTGATATTTTCAAATATCCTTATGATATATTTTCAAAAACCAAATACCATCGATACGATATTTTTAAAAAATTCGACAACCCTAAGTGTTTACTATTGTTTTGACCACCGTTGTACCTAGATAGTGAGAGGGAGCAGAGCAGGTATAGAGAGAACGAGAGCGGGATAAAGACAGCCAAGCGAGATGGAGAGACCCCACCAGTCAAGCCACAAAAAGTAATTTTGTGTTGAAGCTAGAAAAAAGAGGAAAAAACCAAATAAAAAACACACTGCGTGCAGGCCTTTCAATAAATGGTGGCATGGGCCGGGAAAGGGGCAAGAGTGTTGGAAGGGGGGTGAGGGAATCGGGGTCCACAGCCAGACAGTAAATGAAGTTTACGTGGAGTTGTTGGCCGGCAATGTTTGTTGCCTTTATTGGTTTTCCTTTGCCTCTCTTTTTCTGTTGTTTTGTGCAGCTTTATATTTTATTTTTATTGTTGAGATACGCTGGATATGCAACTTTGTATGGGACATTAGATACAGAGAATTGGTTTTTGGTCTCACAAATAGCACAGAATGGAAAATAGTTTAGGTTCAGTGTGGTATTTGGAATGGCAACATTTCCTGGACAGACTAGAAAAATAAATACCCGAAATTGTTCAGTTTTATTTAATTTCTTTGATTGTTGGCGCTAAAGTTTAAAATAATATTTTGAGTAAGATCTGTTGGGTTTTATTTTTAACCTGATCTTAAAAGGTATAGGTATTTTTTTAGAAATGAAATTCTGGTATGGTGATTTTTCTTAAATTGGGCCAGCTTTAATAATAATTCCTAAACACAACCAGTTTTAGAAAACTTTATTCTTACTTTTTGAATCAAACCAATAATGAAGATTGGTTCCATTCCAAGACCTCATGGTGCGCTGTTGTCTATTTTCATTTCCTTGATTGTTGGCGCTAAAATTTTTAAAAATATTTAAAGCAAGATCTCTTGAGTTATATTTTTAAACTGATCCTTAAACGTATAAGCATTTTTTCAAAATGGCATTCTGGTATGAATGATTTTGATTTATCTAAAGTTGGGCTTGCTTTAATAATAATTCCTAGATACAACCAGTTTTACAACAGAAAACATTTTATTCTTACTTCTTTAAACAACCAAAAATGAAGATTGGTTCCACTCCAAGACCTCATGGTGCGCTGTTGCCTGTTTTCATTTTCTGTGTGCCTAATGCCTAATGCATTTTCACTCTCTTTGAAGTGGGTTTTTCGTGTAAGTGGGTGTATTTTTTCAGATTTCTCGAGAGATGATGTGGGCAGAGGGTTTTGGAGGGTTCTTCGAATGTTCTTCGTAACAATGGTAATGTAATTCCTTCGGTGTTACGTGGTCTTAAGTATGTTTATTCGTATATGTGTATTCATTCATCGAATCAGCTCCAATCAATGCCATAAATTGAGGTCGGTCCTCGGCCTCTTCATTCCCTTTTTCCAATTTTTTGTGCTGATTCGTCGTTTAATGGGCTTCGCTTAAAATCGAATCAACCAGGGACACACAATTATATATGTTTGTATACAAACAATCATACATGTACCCCCCTTTTTGGGTCGTTGGCAATTTTTGGTCGCTGTTTTTCCAGCACGCATGACGCGCGCCTTTTTCGTGCTGTTCCAGTTTAAGCTTTAAGTTCTCTGTGGCACATAAATCGATAAATGTTTGCTTAATTCTTTTTCTTATTTTTACTTTTCTGGCTCCCTCGGCCACACCTTTTGCTTTTGCAGGATGCAAACAGCTTTTTGTTTTCTGTTGTTGTTGTTTTGCTCTAGATTTTCCTGCTGCCTTTCCATGATTTTCCACTGTGGCAGCAGCTGCCAAGGAAAAGCCAAAACAGCAAAACATGTGTTTGAAAGCGAAGCCAAGACAAACTGGCGTCGCCTGTCAGAGTGAATAAAGTCTGTAAAAAGCGAAAAAATAAAATAAAATTTAAGGGGTCCCGGTCCGGTAGACCCTTCCTGGGTTAAAACAGGAGGCAAGGCGGGAAAACTACGGAAACTAATAAAATGGCTTTTGCTGTTGTCTGCCAAAAAAGGTTTATTTATATCCTATCCTAAGGGTTTTTCGGTTTGGGTATGCATTTGATTCAGAAACTTAAACCAAACTTCAAAACTTCTGATTCTCTACACAATGCTAAAACTAGTAGAACATCCTTTT